CATTATGGGAAATTCTTGGTGAACTCCAGGTTACATGTTCACTGCCATAGTAAAATACTAGTAAATGAGGAAAAGAAGCCTAACCCTCTGTTGTTTAATAAGATTTATTTCACTGTTGTGGCAAATAGTGGTCTGCTATGCTACATGAAAGAAAGAGAGTTTTGATAAATAATTCTATTAGTAGAAGAAAAAAACCAAACTCAACACTTTTCAACTACTATTACTTTTATAGTCTTCTATTAAAAGCATAAAAAGGGAATTTCCAAGCAGTTTCTTCCTTACAAAGGTGTATATTTTTCAAGCACTTCACGATACAATGACTACTATGGAAAATAATACAAATATTTCTCAGGCAGATCATCACATCTCTGCTTGGCCAAATGTAGGATGCTGAGGTTCTTCCCTTCCAAAAAGTGAGATACATAGTGAAAAGTCTTTTACCAGCTCATTAAACATTTTGTGAGCATCACATAATGCAATTTGCATTCCCTGGCATAATGCAAAAAATACATTTGTTCAAGAGATTGCCTGGATGTAAAAACATTTTTACTGGAAAGCTACTGGTGCCAACAGAAAAAATGTGACTCTTGTTTTCACATGCTCACTGGTTATGGACTTTTGCAGGTAGATGTAAGATATCACTGGCAACAATTTAAGACAATTAGGACAATGGGATTAGAAAACAAAGCTACGTGTGACCACAGGGACAGTTTCTTGAATATTTAACTGAGTGTTTCACAACAATCAGAAGAGACAAATGCACTCAGCTGCAGCAGAAAGCTTGATTTTATTTATTTTAACAGGAAAGAAGTGATATATTCTGGAGAAATAGCCCACAAACTGACTGTCCCCGGCAGAAGTGTTTTGGAGAACAACTTTACTAACACTGAAGTCATGTTGGGGTCTGATAGTCCTGTGAACAGCAGTCAGAGATCATAAGAGTCACGAGAATATTTTCTTTGCTGTGTCTTCATAGACAATAAACTTTTAGGTTGCCACAAGCCTGCAAGATGACAGTGTGATTGCCAACACTTATTCTCAGTTTCAGAGTCATATATTGGCAGAATGCAACCCAGCAGTAAGAACAGTAATGAAGTTATGACAGTCTATGTTCATGATTCATCAAGAGTTAGTTCTCCTGTCCTACCCATCTTCCATAATCTGTTTCTAAAAACTGCAATCTTCATGGGGAAGAAAAATCCACAATGTGGAAATGCTTTTGGTGAGAGTGGGACATATTAAAGTAAGTAATTTATTAAGTTGACAAAAAAAAAAATAGAATATTTTCACTTGGCAACAGAAAAATAGAATATTTCCAAGAACTTATTCAATGGCTGAGCAGTAGCATCTATTTAAATTCTTTTGATTTTTATTTTGGAGGTGTGTGTTCAAATATTATCAAGTATTCCATTAGAAAGAATGCAAATATTGTATCAGACACATACAGTAACACTGCATTATGAGCTCTTAATCTTTCTCAATTAGAAATATATTTACACAGGAGCTCATTGTTGACTTAGTTCTGATCCCACAGAAGTCAGTATGAATCTCCCCATTGTTATACCAACATAACTAATTTGAAAGCCTATCTTTAATTAATAGATGAGGAGGAGGAGGAAGAGAAGGATGGTGATGTAGGAAGACTCAGTACTCGAATATTGACTCTGATGAGATAAGAATCTTTATAATAGTCCAGTACTTTTCTATATTGGGAAGAAGCTTTCCTTTCTTTCTCTTTTTTTCCTCTTCCTTTCCTCATTTCCTCCCTTTCCTTTTTCCCTTTCCCTTTCCTTTTTTTCTCTTTCCTTTCTCTCTTTTTCTCAGCATGCTCAACTATTCCACTGTCAAGGCAGAAAACTTGCCAATTGAATGATCTGAATGATTAAACATACTGAAAACCATGTAGTTTTTCCCTTAGGATTGAATGCCTTCCTGAAACATGCAAATGGTGAAACATATTTTTTAAGAGCATATTTTCATAGAAACATCACACTCTACAGCAATGATATAAGACCACTTTACTCATTACTTTCACAATAATGTTTTATTAAAAGTTACTCGTTTAAATTGCAGGACTGATTCCGTACCATCTTAAAATGTTGCTTTTGTATGTTTTATAAAAATATAAACCTATTAATTGTTCTTCTGATCAAAGAAAACATGAACATTCTATGAGGCAAGAAGAAATTAATCCCACAGTGCCTGACTCAGGAGGCATCAGATATTTTACTTTTGTAGACAGAATGAAATGAAAACTAACAGCAATCATACAACAGCAAATTCGAAGATGGTGGGCACATAACTATTAGACACTAAGCCGGGAAATTGGCACTGAGTGTCAAACAAATTAATTTTTGCACTACAATAGAAATGGATTACATTTGTATGAAAATCCCTTTTGTATAACTACTAAGTAAAGACAGTGAAGAATCAAAATAACTAGGTCACAATGATGGAACTATTTGAGGATAACTGTTCTTTCATATGACTTATTTGCCAAAGGGCAAGATGTGATTATTATATTAGTGGGCAAATATTAAACCAGTTAAAGAATTATTAGAAATTAGTGATTGATAACTAAAGTGTTGCACAAAGAAACTCTTCTCAGGAGACCTTTGAAGTGGAAGGCGACTGGCACATTGATATCATTAATTGTGTGCCTCCTGTGAGCTGAGATTTGTTCAGCAGATGTTTTAATTACAGCTTGGGGCTCGTTGATGTTTTTGTGCAGTCAGGGAGAAAAATCCTCCATGATGTTACAGGAGAAAGACTGGAACCGATCTGAAGACTGACACAGTCTATCCTCCAGTGAACCGTGATTAGATAGACTCAGACTACCTCTGACAGATGTTTGTTTTGAAAAGATCTTATTAAAGGTAAGATTTCATACCTTCCCCAGGGAAGCTATTTCCTCCTGCTTAATTATCCTTTTTTGCAAAAAGGTTTTCCGTGATTTGTAACATAAATTGTCTCCCCTACAAAACAAACCTATTTTGTTGTATCCTAAGTCTTGTGGAGCCAGAAGTAAATGTTTGCATATGAGAAGACTTATCTGCCCCTTCTTTCTCTTTTAAAGCATTCAAATTCCCCAAACAGCTCAAGTTTTCTGAGCCTGCAGTCACTTTTGATGTGTGCTAGACAGCAGCCTGTGACATCAGTAGTGTCCACTTTAGATACAAAAAGGAAAATATTTATTTTGGTAACAAGTCTCACCAATGCCCAGGTGCAATCTAATGTGGAGAGAGAGTTAAGCAATTACAGAAGAAAAGTAAGAATACCTAAACATAGTTAGTATGTTTATATTCTTTGTCTTTCTCTTTCTTAAAACTGAAGTGCTAAAAAATACAATCCATCATTAAAATTGTTACAAAGATGGACAAGATTTCAGTAATACTGCCAATACATTAATCCAACACTCCTGTGAAATATAAGTGAGTTATGCATCTCACAATAAAATCTTAGGCCATTTTCTTAAATACTCTGTGGTGAACTAAAGAACTGACCTTACTTTACTGCTTTAATTCATTCAACTTACATAAATGTTCCTTCACCTGCCTTTCAGTACTCCAGCTTGTCTTCTGTTTCTCTTGTTAACCATACTGGTTCATATTAAGCAATAAAACTGCATCTCTTTTGTCTTCCTCTAATTTCTCATGTATCTATGTGAGCTCTCCAGGCTGTCTTAATAAGTCTTTTGCTCGTTTTCTTTTGTAGTGTTTCTTTGACTTCTGGTTATCCTCCCATAGTTATACTAGCCTTAATTTTTATACTCGATCATACTTTATTTGTGTCTACTTTTGCATGATTCCTTTGGTTTCCTTTTGAGATTCTAAAAGAGACTTTAATGCTTCCCTCGCCTTCTGCTCAACCTTCCCCTGTAACCACCTTTTCTTCTTTACTTTCCTCTCCAATCCCTCTCAGAGGGCCAGTGTTAAGTAAATATTGTACTGATGGGTACTTGGAAGAGAACACTTCTGTGCAGTAGTTATAAGTGAGAGGGTTCTATCCCAGTTTAAATCCTCAAGACATTATTGAAAAAAATTTAAGTGAATTATCCCCATCTTGCTGCTCTTCTTTTTCATTTCCTAAAACTATGAACTGCATCATATCACATCATGTGATAATTATTTCATTTCAACCTCCACATGATCAACCTGCTCTCCCTTACCTTTGCAGTGAACATTAGATCACTGAGCACCTAAGTTGCCTCCTGAAATAAGAAATTGGCCTCCACAATTTCCAGAACTTATTCGTGTCTACTGTGCTAACAGTAAATATTGAATTCAAATGCTTTCTTGTGGTTTGCTGAGCTTGGTGGGATGTTAGGTGTCCACCAAAGCTGCTCTATCACTTTCCTTCTCAGCTGAACAGGGGAGATAAATACAACAAAAAGCTCATGAGATGAGGGCAGGGAGAGACCACTCATCAATTACTGTCAGGGATAAAACACAGTCCACTTGGAGAAGTTAGATTAATTTATTATCAATCAGATCACATTAGGATAATGAAAAACTGAATCTTGAAATACCTCCCCCCCACCCCTCCCTTCTGCCGTTCCCCATTTTCTCTTCCTTCTCTGCAGTGGCACAGGAATTGGAGAATGGGGGCTGCAGTCAGTTCACCACATGTTGTATCTGCTGGTCCTTCCTCTTCGAGGGGACGACTACTCACACTCTTCCTTTGCTCCAGTGTGGGGTTTCTCCCACAGGAGACAGCCTTCTGTGAACTTCTCCAATGTGATTCCTTCCCACAGGCTGCAGTTTTTCATGCACTGCTCCAGTGTGGGTTCTCCTGCCCACACTGCTCCAGCGTGGGCAGAGAGAATACCTGCTCCAGCGTGGGCTCTTCTCTCCATGGGATCACAAGTCTCTGCCAGGAGCCTGTTCCAGCAGAGGCTTCCTGCAGTATCACAGCTTCCTTCAGGCATCCACCTGCTCTGGTGTGGGGTCCTCCATGGGCTCCAGGTGGATTTTTGTTTCACCATGGACCTTCATGGGCTGCAGAGGCACAGCTGCTTCACCACGGGCTGTAGTGGAATCCCTGCTCCAGGTCAGGCAGCACCACTTTCCCCTCCTGCTTTGCTGACCTTGGTGTCTGCAGAGCTGTTTCTCTCACATGTTCTCACTCCTCTCTTCTTTGGCTGCAATTTGCACTTGTGCAGTAGCTCTTTCCCCTTTTTAAGTCTGTTACCCCAGAGGCACTACCCCTGTCACCAACGGGTTTGGCCTTGTCCAGTGGAGGGTCCATCCTGCAGCCAGCTGGCATTGGCTCCATCCAACATAGGGGAAGCTCCTGGAAGCTTCTCCCTGCATGCCCCCTGCTACCAAAACCTTGCCATGCAAAACCATGCCATGCAAAAAATATGCTCTCATTCATTAGAACACGATCTGTTCTTTGAATGCCAACTAGAGTGTCTCCAAACCCTCATTCACCACTCTAACTCCGTGATCTGTAGTCAATGCAGGATTTCTAGTCTTTTCCTTCTGTTGTTTTAACACTGACTCTCTACCTCAAGTTTAGGTAAGCAAACTGTCTCACCTCTCTGAGAATTTGCTTTAGTTTTCTGGCCAGCATTAAAGAATTGGCTTACTGACTGTTACACAGTATATTGATAGAGATTATAACTCAGAAGGGTGTTTCAAAACCATTCTTCAGTGACCTGCTGAAAAAGGATTAAACTTTTATGAGAAGCTTATTGTTATGATCACATTAGCAGCAATAAAACATCAAGTAGCCTACAAGGCAGAGGAATGGGCAAGGCCAGATATCACGGAACCTTGAATGAAAAAAAAGCAATCAAGTTTCTCAAAATGTCACCAATGTAATAAATTTTGTAATAATTAAAGTGTTCAGCTTTCCCTTATTTTATTTCCTAGAATATTTAGCTATTCCATTGGAATATTCCATTTTCCAATACAAAATAATTTCTCCATACAAACTGACAATCTGATTCACTGTCGTTCCTTCCCCTACTGCTTACAGCCCCCTCTCCCTAACCTTCGATCCTTCCACACAGTGAGCTCTCTAAATAAGTTACAAAGTGAATTAATTTTCATTTGTTGTACAAAAAGTGTCATCTACTCACATCTTATCTACTGACTGTATCACCACATTTCACTTCAGATCTCTTTAAACAGGGACCACCAGAAGCAATTTATTTTTTTCAGACTGAGTTCAGAATCTTTATTATTGCTTGTAAAGAAGTAAAAAGAAGTATTTATCACATTATTATTACTAGTAGTACATTTATCTGGAAGACAGATTTAATCCTATGAAGTGTTAAGAGCCCCAATAAAGGATCTGTCAAGTATTTTCACATGCTTTGATAAATGCCATTATGTGCATGCCAAATGAATACTATTAATATGGATGATTAAAAAATTAAGAACTTATTTGTTCATCCTTCATCATCAAGAGATGAATTTGCATTTTGATTTTTGCATTTTGGAAAGGACTTTTTATTGAGCTGGAAAATCTCTAAAACAAAATGAGATAAAGCAAAATAACAACTCTGACCTTCAGAGAAAGAGTTGATAATCTTTTGATTCTTTTTGGGTCTCTAACATAGCATTTGACTTTTGAAATTTCAATGATAAAAATCTAAAAAGAGAAATGGGGCTGACTTTTATGACAATCAAAGAGGCAGTAGCATCTAGTTCCTCCTATATTTTTATCAGAACATGAACCACCTTGATTCTAGCTTCTTCTTACAAAAAAAACCCCAAAACCAAACCAAACTTGGGAGCACACAGCAGCTGAATCTGCAGTAAATGGTCCAACATAAATTGCAGACAAGGTGGATAATTTCAGCAGGAAATCCTAACCATAAGTAGTAAGTTTCCTAATGTGAGATATTAAAGTATTAATTAAAGAGCTGCAGACTTCCCCAGGCTTTAAAAGGTCACCTTTACAGTGGGAAGTGAGCAATGTGGTCAACAGATGGTATTGATATCTCTCTATAAAATCTAATATTCTATGGCCACTAAGACTAAAAGTGGGATGCACTATCTTTTATTAGAAGAAAAAAATATATTGCTATATATATATGTCTTCGAATGTTCATTAAATGAAAAAACACCCAAATTTTCACATGCTATGAATTGTCACTCAGACATGGCCTTGAATAGAAAACACTCAGCCACATAGGACAAGTTTTTGTAGTTTTCTTTTTCTCCTGCTCTCTAAGTTTTTCAGAACATGCTAATGACTTGCATGGAAAAGTACTTCCAGTCTGTGCAGTTTGAGTGCTAAACTTAATGGAAGCACTCAGTCAAGAAGCAAAACATACCAAAAAGTAGGAACTAGTATTAAATAGAGAAAGGCTTTTGCATTTTCTCTTCCTCTTATTCTTGTTGTGGACAAACGGTATCAAAACACCTCAGATTAGCTAAAAATTAGTACTTAAAACCAGATTATATTAATGAGAACACCATAAATCAGAGCAAATTAGTTTTGAAAGAACAGTTCTGGTTTATAGTTCCCATTTAAATACTTTCACTTAACCAACTGTACAGATTACAGATGTTGAACGTAACTTGATACACATTTTATGTCCACATATTCTGAATTTTAAATTTTTTCCTTGGTAGACAAAGAAAGATGTCTATTTGACAGTCAAAATGACTGAGAAAACCAGTGATAGCTCAGTTATTACTAGGGGATTTCTAATTTGTTCTCTTCATAAACGTGTAACGCTTGACTTTAATTTTATAGTTTCTAAATTCAGAAGGAGGCAGTCAGAATTTTAAACCTGATATATATCTTCTTTTCCTAGAAGAAAATAAAAATGAACATGTTTATCTTTTCTTCTTCAGCATAAATGGCCTTTCTACAGACCTTCAAAGTTAAGTGAATACCGTTTTAAATATTTTAAGAACTCCATTTTATAATGCTGACATAAAATGCTGGCATTTTGCCAGGTAAAACTTTGTTCTAATGATCAGTTGCTTTGTATTCCCCTTAAGATAATTAGAATAGCCTTCAAAATGCAGTTAAATCTTTTTGATATTTAAACTATCAAATACATATGTGAAACAAACTTGATTTAAACAAACATGTTTTAAACAAACAGTAAGACAGAGCTTTATAATGGTTTTCCTTTTTAAGAAACTCTCCGTGAACTTGAAGGTTCTCTAAAACCTTAGGATAAAGACCTTATTATTATAATCCAAGTAACTGCAATTCTAAGTTCACACACATACATAATCCCCATTTGTTTTCAGGCAGCTAGTTTATCACTAGCTTAGCAGTATAATACACAAATCTACTCTTCATGTATGGGTACAAATATTAGAAACAAAAAGGTCTTGAGTTTGAGTGCAAAAGAATAAGCCACAAACATATTTTAATTTTCAGTGGGAAATACCTCCTCATCACACTTTCTTCTTAGCTGAAAAGCAACTAAACATTTTTTTCATAGTATTTAATGAAAAATCAGAAGAGACAGCTCCAGTTGCAAAATGAAAGTTGCCTGTTAAATGTGATTATTAAAGAGAAAAGGTGTCTCTGATAATATGCATCAACTTTTCAGGGAAGTTTAATTTTGTGACTAAATAGATTCTAGTATTTCTCCATTCTGACTTACCCTCAGAGATAAACAGCAGAAAAAACTTTCTACAGAACTGTGCAGTAAAATGATTTCTATTCAAATGCCAAGCATTTCTGCAGCCATTTTCTATATGATGTTGATTTAAAAAAAAAAAAAAAAGCTTTCACTGTAACTCAGTTAAATTCCTTATTAAATTCCTGGAGTGGACAAAAGGAATTCCAGAATAGCCGACTAAACTTTATGGTGCTCACACTGACAGCAGCAGACACCCGTATCTACGCCACCAGCCGTCTTGCAAAGTGCCTGGTGACACTGGAGGTGACACACCAGTTCTATTATCTTCCAGTTGTATCTCTAAGGGCTCTTCTAAAATCACTGTGGCTTTCTCAGCACTTATCATCACCCGGTTTCTCAAATAAGATAATTCTAAGTTGCTCATTTCTTTGTTGTTCTGATCATCTGCAAAAAACCAGTACAGAAGAATAAGGAAAAGCTAATATATGGCATAACTCTACATGCTGTTTCAGATTTGGACATGAATCCCTCTTGCAAAATATATACAAAACAAATCAAAGAATGCCTTGACAAGGGAAAGGATGTGACTCTGTTCTGATACTTCTGAAAGTACATGGAACAATTAAACACTAAATTTTCTTTGTTGCTTATTAATTGATAAAAAGTGCACTGAAACTTCCAGTGAGTGGGAGTTTTAAAAACAAAAGAGAATTTTCTATCTTTTTTGGTATGGTAACAACCTCTATCAGGCTGAGCTCAAGTGCAACCATCGTTGCTGCAGTATTCACGTTAGTTTTCCCTTTTCCCTGAAAACTCCTCCTTTGACTCTCTTAGTTTAGTTTTTTCCTTTTTTTTAGCTATTTTTTCTAATCATGTGGTGGTGTGCCTTGTGTCTCTTCTCTTAGTATTAAAAAAATTCAAATTATGAGTCTGCAAGAGAAAAAGAAACAACATTCTAAGCCTTTGTGGTGTTCTGTTTTGTTTTTTTTTCTTCTCCCTATGTCCTCATACTCTCCTTTCATCTTTAGGGAATCAGTATTGTTCCCCAAATATAAAAATAAGAATACAATCTCAAGGCTACATCTCCTAAAGTTTCTTGCAGTTGAAATATTTCTGACTAATCCTCAGCTGGAATCCTAGTCTGCATTCTAAAAAAATTTTATTAAAAAACTCTTACCCAGAGAGAAAAAATAAAGCTAATATTAATTCCTGTTCAATTCAGAAATAATTATTTTGTTATTCCACTTAATATTTTTTTTGTAAAGATGGTTATTCCAAAGACTTGGCAGTTTTCATGCCTTTCTCACTATGCAATTACATGAATGGAGAAATTAACACACATCAAAATAAAATTCTTTTTGTTGAGGGGATGGTTCTTTCTGGACATGTTATGTTTATGCTGCATTTTTGTACTATTACTACTTGGTACCATAGTATTTCTTTGTTCT